GACATTGTGCTAGTTTCCTGAAGCAGAAGCTATCTATAACTGCGATAATCTGTAGAGGAGATGGCTGAATAATCACCACTGTTGAAGTTGAAACTACATTTGTTGCACTAAAGTCTAGCCTGTGCTCTGCCTATGACGTAACCTGACTCTGAGTTCTGCTAATTTTTTCTCCTCTGCTTTTATAGTGATCTTTGTAGTGTTTAAAATAGGTAGTGTTACCTATTTTAAACTTTACACTTTGTTTATCAAAGAAAGCATTTCAAAATGTATACATGGCCATGTCTTAGGTCATTTCTAAAGCTACTGTTTTTTTTTTTTTTTTTTTTTTTTTTGAGACAGGGTTTCTCTGTGTAGCATTGAAGCCTTTCCTGGAACTTACTCTGTAGCCCAAGCTGGCCTCGAACTCGCAGAGATCTCCCGAGTGCTGGGATTAAAGGTGTGTGCCACCACTGCCCAGCTTTACAGCAACCTTTAAGAAAGGACAAGAATGTGAGTCCTAGAACCCAAATTGCTGGATAGTTATTTAAACGGCTAGCCCAATCCAGAATTCCTTTCATCTGCTCTGTGGCTCGTGGCCACCTTGGCATGGTGATACCTTCCGCTATTCTTATGGATCTCTTAGCCAAGTAAGTCCATCTGCTTCCCCAGCAGCCAGTACACTGAAATGACTCTAGGTTTACCGGTATTCTCTTTCTTGTCTCCTTGTTGGCCTACTAGCTCCTTCAGAAGCTCAAATACTGCATATTTACAATGAAACCGGACGAAATCCACCAGATATTTTTGGTTGATGTCCTCATTTGTTTTCTGGTGCTGTGGTGAAATGCGGACCAGAAACCACCAGGGGAGAAAAAGGTTTATTTCAGGGTAGGCTTTTATAGTCCATCATTGGGGGAAGCCAGGGCAGGAACCCAGGGCATTGAAGCAGAGGTGTGGAAAAGCATTGCTGCTTTTTTAATTTCTGAACGCAGTTTCCTGGCTTCATTTCCCTGTATCATGCACAGTGACTTCTCTTACACAGCCCAGCCATACTTGCCTAGGGGTGGTGGCCTGGGTCCTCCTCCATCAGTTAGCAATGAAGAAAAACACCTTACAGATGTAGCCAGAGGCCATTTTCACCTGGACAGTCCATCAGTTAAAATTCCCTCTTCTTTCCAGGTGACTCTAGGTTGGGGTCAGGTTGACAGATGAAGCTAACTGTGACAGCTGGGTTGGTTTCCATAGCCTTTCTTCTGTGTGGATCAGTATTGCCCCTCCCATGCTGCCTAGTCTGAGACCACCAGAGCTGGAACTCTTAGACTTGGAAATCACTAAGATCATGGACATGCTTTAGGCTTATTTCACTCCCCAAACCTGGCCAAGGCTTGTGGTTGGCCCTTGGACTATATCTGAATGTTACCTAGGCGCCCAACCCCAGTGGCAAACCCAAGAGTGAAATTAATGAGTCTGCAAGACTCTGGCTTCTGTACTGCTCTGCCAGATCTGAACGAGCCCTCTCAGGCTCTTGCAGAGATGTATTTAAAGTTTGAGTTGCTTTGAAAAATCCACATTAGGAAGATACATTTTTAAATCTGACTGACTCATTGTAACGTAACATCTGCTTCTGCCTGGGGTTACAGCCAGCTCAGAAGTAGTCTCTTGGCCTCCATATCCTGGAGGTAATGCTTTCTCTGCTTCGTGGTCCCTACTGTGCAGTGAGTGGGCTGCCAGAGACATGGCAGCTTCTAGCAAGAGATGAGTCATCTTCTACTTGAGGAACTGGTTGGACCGCTCCCCCCACCCCATCGCCCCCAGGATGGGTTAGCCTAGCTGTATACCTTCCCTGCTGATTGAAAACCAGCTTCACATGGCTGCCATGCAGAAATCTCAGAACAAGTGTTAGGACATAGTGAGTCACTCCACAGATGCTTGATCATCTTCTTCTTTGAAAATAAGCATTGACAGGAGGTCCAAGATGTTGAGGCATAAATTGATTGGCCTCTCTCCTGGTGTTCCCCATAGATGCTCCTAGGAGGTTCTCAGAATAATATTTATTTCTCTTATTTATAATAGTTATTATACTAACAGTTCTCAAGGAGATCACTTATCAATGTCCTATACCTTATCCTAATGTCTCACCGAGGATGCATGGACAAACTTTGGTTTTGTTTTGGAGATTTTTTTTAAGATTGTGTTCAGGGTCCCCTGCATGCTAGTGCAAGTGCTCGGCCCCCAAGCTCACCCCTAGCTCAACACTGGGAAGTTTAAGATGAATTATTTTAATGTTGATTAGTTTAATAGGTGTGGGTAGCTAGCCAATCAGATTAACAACTTCTTTGATGTGATTCTCCTGATTAAACTGAAAATTTAAAAACCAAGTTGCAATCATATCTAGACACACATATAATATGAAAAATAGGTTGCATGGATATGTTAAAAGTTCATAAGGATATGGCTTTATTTAATGACATCCTCTCTTAGCCTTGTGAGGAAGGCATCATTAATCTCCTCATTCAGTCGATGAAGAAACTGAATTTTAAAATTTCATTTTTGGTCAAGTGAGTAAAAAAAGGTGCTTGCCACTAAGCCTGACCACATGAGCTTGGCCCCCAGGACTTACATTATGGAAGGAGAGAACCAACTTTAGAAAGTTATGCTCTGACTCTCACATGGTATCCATGTGTGTACACATGAGAGTGCACACATGTGGGGACACACACACACACACACACACACACACAGTTAAAAGCTTCATTGTAGTCTGTTTCTGTGAGCCTGGGAAAGATGTAGGAGTCACACTAACAATTTCTACTCCATTGCACTTAGACTGATGTCACCACTCTAGAAGCGGTGGGACCAGGGCGGATGGAGCCAATAAATGAGATAGACTTGAGTCTTTTACAATAACCAACTTTATTCAGAGCCTCGGACAATTTATACTCTGAGGGTTAAGAAAGGCCACATAAGTAAAGTTCTCATGAGTTCAAGCTGTGTACAATCATAAGGACAAACCACACATGGCACAGACATATTTTCCCATAGAGGCATATAAAGCATAGTTTAAACATTTAATTGAATAACAGCAGCAAGCAATAATGAGTCATCTGAAGTAAACTCACTTCTATCCTCTATACCTGAGAGGAGCATGAAAACATATTCCGAGAACAATTCCATGTTTTGAAGAAACTGAGGTCACAAGACTCTTGTTTTATGGAGTGTTCTCATAAGCACTTAGAATTCCCACAGGACTTCATTTCTTAACTGTTCTGATAGTTTAAGATGTCTTCTTCACCTTTTAGGAACCCCTACCTCAAATTTTACATTAATTTGGGGTTTCTTTTTATGAAGTTTAAGTTATATCTGTTATAGAGATTTTGGAAATTACAAAGAAGAATGTCTTTTATTGTTGCATAAGCACTTAACATGAAGTCCATCCTTTAACCATGTGTAAGTGGGGTCCTGCATTGCTAGCTCATAGAGCAAATTGTCCCTTGTGTGTCTTTTCATAGCTCTGTATGTCTGGTACAAGGAAACAGAAGGAAGTCGTGAAACTGGCTGAATCCCCACACACAGTATAGACTTACCAGATTCTTGGCTCCCAGTCCCTTCCTCTAAACCATAACATATCATGCCATGGGTCCTGGCAAGCTGCCCCTTACTTTGGAAGAAACAAAGATTATGTCCTCAGGATCCTTGAGAAGCCACCAAGTTCAAGGTGGCCGTACACTTCTCCCTGTGGGGTTGGAAGAGGCTGCCAGCTCTGCTCCCAGATGGCAGCGCTGGCTTTGAGTCTGCCTTGGCCTCTTTTGAGCAGAGAGCTCAATGAATCTGTCTACACAAGTGTACACACAAATGCACTTGCCAACTGATTTAATTAAACCTGTTTTCAATTCAAATGGTTATGTTTGGACAAGAACTAAGGCTCTACCAAACTACCAGTAGTATTAGCTCTCTAGAGGAACAGAACTCATATAACATATATATATATATATATATATAGTATAATATAGTATAAATACCATATGTAGTTATACACACATACATAAACATATATACATGCATATATACATAATACACATACACAAATACACACACACATATGAGAGAGATTTATTAGGATGGCTTATTGGCTGTGGTCCAGCTAATCCAACAATGGATGTCTACCAATGGAATGTCCAAGAATCCATTAGTTCTTTAATCTACAAGGCTGGATATCTCAGCTAGTCTTTACTATACTTTAGAATCCTAAAGTAGGTTTTTCTCTTATCATTCCTTCTTCCCTCCTTCCTTGTCTCCCTCCCTCCCTTCCTTCCTCCTCCTCTTCCTCTTCTTAAGATTTTATTATATTGTGTATATATGTGTGTAAAAATAATGCCATGGCACATGTGAGGGTCAGAGAACAACTTATTGGAATTGGTTTTCTCCTCCAGTCATGTGGGTCTCAGTGATTGAACTGAGTTCATTCCGGCTTAGTGTTTTCCTACTGGCTCAGGGGCATTGCTACTGTGTATTGAACTCTGTGGTTTCTATTGGGCACATTCTGGACATCATGCATGTTGGTAAGTCCCCATTTTAGAGAATGACTCCTCACCCGCTTCCTCTGTTTCTTTCCTCTCTTCCTACTTCCTTGCCCCCACTCCTTTCCTGACAAATACATAATTCTGTTCATTCCCCCTTTCTTCACAGTCTGTATCTTTTGCCCACACTCTCTTATTCACTCATCTCCTTCCAGTGTGCCCTCTGACTGTGCAAATGATATGGAATGCGACCTTTCTGCTGTGCTGACTTGGATAACCCATTCTGAAATAGTCGTCCAACACCTTTGTTTGGGGGCTTTGTAATATTTTCTATCTAGCTTTTGTGAGAACAAACATGACAGTGTTTTGAAAGCTTTTCATAGCTCCAGAAGGAAGACATGACAGAAACATGCCGTTATCATTGATGTTATGATCTTTATTTAGGAACATGACAGCCTAAGGCTCTCTGTCACTTCTAAGTCTGGATCTCTCATCTTGTTTTCCCAGACCCTGTGCCAACTCATAAAGATGCGCAGAGTGACGCCGATGGAACGCCAGAAGACCTCCAGTCTGCAGGCACCAGCAGGCTGCTCTATCACATCACCGATGGTGATAATCCGCTGCTGTCACCACGATGCTCCATCTTTAGCCAAAGTCAGAGGTTCAACTTGGACCCTGAGTCAGCCCCTTCTCCACCCAGCAGCCAGCAGTTTATGATGTAAGAAAAAGCCCACTTTGATGGCCAGCTTCATTGCATGGAGTTTTCCAAAGCCATCCATAGCACATAGTGAAATTCAGCTCTGAAATAGGGCAGATGTGCCCATGGAATACAGACAGCTGTGAGACTGTGCGATAAAGCAAGGGTCTCCCTCTCCAGTTGGGAATACCATTTCTCTATTGACCTGAGGTCTGAGGAAGAAATGGTCATGAGAGTCAAAATACGTTTGGATGTTTGGGGTAGAATGAGAAGTGTGTGTCTGTGCAAGCATCTAGAGTGTCACTCTTGACTAGCTCATGTCCAACAGTGGATGGAATGTAAATTAGAAAGTCCTCCCTTCAGCTCCCTGTTGGGTCCTAGAAAAGTGGTTTCTGAAAATAACCATTGTCCTCTCCAAATCAAATGGGCATATAGCAGTATCTATATGTCAGATGTGCCCCCCCCCCCGCCACCACCATTGGTCAGTTAGCAGTTATTGTAAGATGTGGTGCCTGTAACTCACTCCCATTGGTCATTTGTCCGTTTCTTCCTGTGTGTCAGATAAGACCCCCACATTGGTCATTTTAGCAGCATCACCCTGTGTGCCTGAAGTGGGGTCCACACACACTCTGCAATTATTCCTTGCATTTGAGACTGGAGTAAGTTCTAGGAACTCTATGGTATTCATTTTTAGCTTGCACAAATAATTTTGGTGTGTAATTAAAAGGGAGACTCCCTTGGTAAAAATATACGCTCTCTCGACGTTCCTAGTTTTTTCCTTCAAAACATCTACTATTCTTGAGTTTATCCCAGCCTGGGTTCCTACAGGATGCCTCATGTATGATGAATCCAAGGGACTTAATGAGTCATTATAATTGCATGGCAATTGTGTGTCATGTGAGACCCTGGAAGTATTTTCTGGAGAGAGGGCTGTTCCTTGTGACATATTTGAAAAGGTTCTTTTACTTAGGATAGTTAACCACACAATTAAATCTCACTTGAAAGCGCCAGTGACAGTGACTTGTACAACCTGTCGAAGGGGGCGCCTCAGCAGGGCCGTCTGAGTCCCAAGCTGACCTTACTATGCTTTGAGAAATGTATTTCTTGTGCTGCTGATATTTTGACATTGGTATATGAAAATTCCCCAGGCATATTGGCCCACAATGCAATGCTGTGGTCAGAGGTCCCAAGCGATGATGAGGGCTCCCGGTTGACTAGTCACATCAGGAGCTGCCCTCTGGAATTCTCTCATCTCCCCGGTTCAAAGGCTAGGCAGCAGTGTTCACGGAAGCCCCTTGCTGAAATCAATGTTCTCTGTCCGTCTCTGACCATGGCAGGCCAAGAAGCTCTTCTCGATGCAGTGGCGGGGATGGCAAGGAGCCCCAGACCATCACACAGCTCACTAAGCACATCCAGAGCCTCAAGAGGAAGATTCGGAAGTTTGAAGAAAAATTTGAACAAGAAAAGAAATACCGGGTAAGTACCTCCGCGTTAACGGAAGCGCAGATTGTGTCAGACAAGTGTGAGTTTTCTTGGGTCTCCATTCCTTGGTTTTGGCTTCCTCTCTTTGCTGGAGGACAGCTCTGTACCCACTGGTCACCCATCCTCCACCTTCGCTCTCTCATCACGAGTTAAGTTTAATGGAGAGTCTTTCTTGTTTTATTTAAAAGGCAGCTGATCTCTGCTCATTACATCCTACTCACTACAACTCTTATTTTTAAACTAATTGATTATTCATTTCCCCAGTCTTTCTAAGCATCCTTATGGACACTAGGATTCTCTAGATTAAAAATTTGGAAGCCTTCTGAATGTTGGACTTTCTTATTCATGTGTTGATAAGGACGTAAGGACCCAACGTGTAGAAACTCTAACTGCCGAACATAATGATGGGAAGGAAGTATAATTGTTTTTGGGCGTTTGTTTGTTTTGCTGGTTTTTGGTGTTCTTTTTTTGCCATGAAAGGACGTCCTGGTGGATGAGTGATGACTTCTCAGGTGGCACCTGCTCAGGCCACTCTTGAGGACAAATGGAACCCTCTTTTCCCAGGAGACACTGGTCCTTCTGCTGGGACGGCTGAGTTGCCAGCGTAGCTTCGTCTCCTCTCACACAGGAAACCACAGAGCCTCAGATCAGGGTCAGCTTGACCAATGCTGCTTTTATTTATTTTCTCTCCTGGTGACCATGGAGTAGAGACAATTCAAATTCCCAGAGAATTGTACGAAGATAGTGGGTCTCTGGCGGACAGCCCAGAGCAGCTTGTTATTAGAATAAAATAGAGCGGGGCATAATCTCTCAGACATCTTGAAATATTTAGAGACCCAATAGGCTCTCAGTACAGAGGCAATCGGAAGGTTCCTGTGAGTGTGTGATAAGTTTTTTTTTGGGGGGCGGGGGAGTGGCGAGTGGGTGACGTTCCCTCTTTCCCTTCCTGTCCTGCGTGGCCTTGGCTTCACTGAGGAGGCTTTTAAGGAGTGGTGTTTAGTTTTATAGAAAGTGTGCAATCAGATTGACTTTCAAGAGTGTCTAAGCAAGGATGGTACAGATTCTTCTCTTCATTCGGCAGTCATGGCTTCTCTGTCCATGCAGAAGGGCATCTCTGTTGTCTCAGCCTGTATCCTATGGATAAGTACGTCTGGGCCCACTGAAGACTTCTAACTAGCTGTGAGCTATCCCTTGGGGGCTTGGAACAGTAAATTAGCAAAGAGCAGGCTTGGGTGGTGGTGTCACTGGATTCTTGGTGCCCATCTTTGATGACCCTGGTATTCTGGCCGGAGCTGATTTCACCTTTGATCTGCTGGAGCTTACCAGATCGGTCACGCCATCACTGTAGGTAGACCCCGCAGAGTGATAAATGGGGGTTCTATTTCCCAGCCCGTTCACACTTGTGAGCTAGCAGTTCCTGAGTCACACTGTTGTGGACTTCAGCCCAACCCAAGCCCTCAGCAGCCTTGTGAGGACTCAGTTGCTCTGAGTCGTGCAGCAGTAACTGAAGTTTGCAGACACCGTTGGAGGGACCTATGTGACACTTCCTGCAGTGTTGGCCATGAAGAGAGCAAAAGCTCCTCGGTGTTACCAACCTTTTAGGGTGTTTGCACAGTACCAAGCAGGCTCCCTGACAGGCTCTGTCTTGGAAGGGAAAGGGCTTGTACATATTAAGTCTGCACTGGGTTCCCATCTGTGCTGTGTACCTGGGTTATTTTTCTCAGTTATTACAGCCATCAACCATTGCCTATTTTGTTAGAACGTCTCCTGACACATTTCATTCTCTCTTGAGAACTTTATAGCCAAGAGAGGACACACACACTCTCTCTCACACACACATACTCATACACATCCTAGGAACCGGGGCATCCTCTCGCTCTTCATTTGTCAGGGTCCAGACTGTGGTTAGAGGCCTGGCAAGGCAATTGTCACATGGAAGGCCTGCTTTCCTTCCCATCAGCCAGACTGTGACATCAATGCTGCTTCTGGTGATTTCTGAGTCTCAGCTCCTTCTGGGCTTTTGTGATGTTCACAGATACACGTCTTTCCATCTCTGACAAATGAAGCCCTGAATAGGAAGGGCTCGATCATCCAAATGTTCACTTTCAATAGAATATGTTAAAGCTGGACAAAGTGAGCCAAATTGAATTGCCAATCAGGAGTCTTTCTGAAGTGTCTTATGAACCACTTTTGACTTAGAACAAATCTACTGTCATAGTATCTGTAATGTTATACCTGCCTACTTCCTTTTATTCATCCTTAACAAAACCTTCTGTAGTGAGTTTGGGTATCTGACCGCTCAAGTAGACATTTCCATTCAGACGCAGAGAGGCCTGAAAAACTACTGTGAATCCGTGGAAACTTCTGTGATTTCGGAGCCATCTTCCACACAAGCTGAGGTTAACCTTAAGGCTCCCTCAAGGGCAGAAAAAGAAAAAGAAAATTCATTTCTGCAACTGATTTCAGGCTTTCGAGTCCTTCATCATGAAATTCAGTTTCCAGTTCCCCCTTCGTCCAGAGGGTGGTGAAAAACTTACTAGTCTGTTGGTCACTGGCTTATTAAGGTTCTGGTGTGTTTTGTGTGGTTTGTATATTCCTTTGGCCACGGATGGGGTAGATTCAGCGAAGCATTGCTTACCTGCATAGATATGTTTTCAGAACAGAGAATTCTCTGAGAGTTCCAAGAGACCAAATGTAAAACGTAGGCTGACATTCATATATGTGGTGTGTGTGTGTGTGTGTGTGTGTGTGTGTGTGTGTGTGTGTGTGTGTGTATCTAGACAGCTAAGCCCATTACAGGGTTCTAGCACAGGGCTTTCTTCTGGAGACCCTAGGTGGGACTACACCAAGCCTGATCATTATTATTTATTTCCAAAGGGAAGGCTTCAGGAACCATGTCACTGTCCATGGTACTGACAGTCCAGGGCTCCATCATGGAAGGTGGAGTCTCCCATCTGTCCTCTTCTGAGAAAAAAAAAAATCCCTGTGATTTTCCTTCAGTCTTCCTTTCCACCTTGACTTTTAGATGTGGGTTTCCGTGTCACCCCATAACCGACTGAATCTTTCCGTGTTCTCACAGTGAACCCAGCATTCATGCATATCTAACGATGTCACACAAGCGCCATTGTCTCTTTTGACATCCAATCTGCTTTCCATCATCCCGGGCCTGTCACCGAAGACTTGCTCATCTCTCGTGGGTGAAGTGGGTCTTCGAGCACTGGCTGCTGACAGTGTGGACACTTCAGCCTGTCACCCCTGTGCAGGAGGCACCCTGAACATCACAGCGGGGGGGGGGGGTAGTCCCAGGCGGGGGAACCGTCTTCAGTCTGCTCTTAAGTTAGGATGGTAGCTTTGGCTAAAGGACTCTCATTGAGATCTGTGGTATGGAGGGTAAGGGTGTCTGGCCACCTTTATCTACTGATTTCTCATTGTTGGGGGGGGAGTTCACTTTTGTGCTCTGCGAGGGAATTCAGAAGTGAGTGATCTGACTGGCAGAGTCACACGTATCCCTTCATGTGTGTTTTGTCTGTGAAGACACATTCAGAAGGCCTGGTGGAAATGTCACTGCCACCACCCTCTACTGCTAGTGAGATGAAGCTAGTAGTCACTTTTGTGGTCTGAGCTAGCACTTTTGTATTGCTCAGTGTGCACCTGGAGCTGTTCACAGTGCTTTATAGATATTAACCCATTGCAGGAACTCTGTGAGGGAGATACTGTAATCCTCACATATTTAATATGTGAGACAATAGAGCACAGAGGAGGTGAATAATCTGCCCAAGGTGGCATGCATGATCAAGTTTCACTTCAGTGCTAGCCCAGTGGGGTCTTGAATTCTAATAGTGCTTAGAAGTAGGGCTGTTCCCCGATAAAGTGGCTTTCAGGACCATTACCAAGTTTCAGAGACCATGGGGGTCTGCTTTCGTGAGCTTTGAGGGCATGCCTGGTGGGTTCTCACCAGTTGGCGAGTGTTTCCCACCAGGGCCCAGTCCCGAGCCACGTGCAAAGTAGGAAGCATTCGTTTTTGTATGATTAATGTGTTCTTCTCCATCGGTAGGGAGTATGGCCTGGGAATGAGTGATGGGCTGTGGGTGGCCTGCGAGGTGATGGACAGTGGGATGGCCTGGCATGGTTAGGATGTGTGAAAATGTGTGAGGTGTCTTGGCATGCTTCAGAATCAGGCCCATGGAGGAGTGAAAGTGAACAGTCTCAGTCACTGGAACCCTGCCCTGACGCTTCTCCTACCTCAGTGTGTCTCGGATTAACTATATGGCTCAGCTGCTTAACAGTTTTGGTTGTCTTTTTTTTCCTTCTTCTGTCTCTCCTCCTCTCTTCCTTCCTTCCCCCCTCTCCCTTCCGCCCCTCCCTCTCCATCCCTTACCCTCTCCCCCTTCTCACTCCCTCCTCTCCCCTTGTCACTCCCATGCATTTCCACTTTCCGCTCCTATAGCCCTCACACGGGGACAAGACTTCGAACCCTGAGGTTCTGAAATGGATGAATGATTTGGCTAAAGGACGCAAACAGCTCAAAGGTGAGTGCCTCTTCTCGCAGAGAGCCACCAGTCAGAACAGCATAATGGCAGCCAGGGCAATTGCAGGCCACTTCCACCCGAGCCTTCTTGAGCTTTGGTTTCCTGCTTAGACTGGCGCTCCATGTGAGATGACAGACAGCCTTTGGTTCCCCACATCATTCAGGCCCTCTTAATAAACCTCCTGCAGAAGAGACCCGGGACCTCCAGCCAACCTGTGGGGGTTCTAACCTCCCTGGTTACTAGATTGTGGGAAACCAAAGTAGCCTAAGGAATTAGCCACTGCACAGATCCACTGCGTAGGTGAGCATGCTAAGCCCAGAGGGATGGTTATGTGGCTGGGAGGGACTGAGGCAGGCAGATGACTTGCCTCCCTGGCTCTTAGTCCACCCCTCTTTTTCCTTTGTCCCGTTCTGAAATGGATGTATTATTAACACTAAGGACAATCACTCTACACTCAAAGTTATTTTCTTTCTCCTTTTGTTCTGTAAGTCAGTACTTGGATATAGGGGAGTTGGTCTAAATTTCTGGAAGTTTCCCGACGAAGAACTGGAAAGTAATAGTAACTTAATGGTATTAACCTGTAATGATGTAGCATGTTTATAAAAACACACAGTGTTTAAGCTTCAAGTCAGAGCTTGGCATGGTGGCTCCTGCCTGTAATTTTAGTATTTGGATAGCTGAGGCAGGGGAATTGTTAGTCTGGGCTACATAGTAAGTTGCAGGCAAGCATGGACTACAGTTAGACACTGAGTCAAACAACATAAACAAAACACAAAGCCAGAGCACAAAAGTAAATGAAGAAATGAACTATGTTATATAATTGAAAAATCAGTATAAATGGTCTTACTCAAATCCAGCTTCCCCTTCCCATGGCATGATCTGAAATGCAATTCCATAGTAGGTCCCAGGTTGGACTTTTTTTTAATTGTTGTTGTTTTTAATTGTCTAGGGTTGCATAAAGCCACATAAAATGGTGGGCTCTGTATTTTGAAAGTTAACATTAGGGCCTGGAAAGATGTCTCAGGGTTAAGAATGCTTACTTCTCCTCCAGGGGACCCACGTTTAGTTCTCAGTATTCACACTGCTGCATGATGCCACCCAACTCTAGCTCCTGGGAGTTCTGAAGTCATCTTCTGGCCTCTGTGGGCGCTCACAGAACACACACACACACACACACACACACACACACACACACACACACACAC